TTAAAAATATTTTATTGTTTTTATTTTATGTGTATGAGTGTATTGCCTGCAAGTAGGTGAGTGCACCTGTGTTGTGTAATGCCCACGGAGGACAGAAGAGGCCATCAAATCCCTGAAACTGGGGTTACAGACAGTTGTTAGCTGCCATGTGGGTGCTGGGATTCGAACCCAGGTCTTCTGCAAGAACAGCCAGTGTTCTTAACCGCTGGCCACCTTTATAATTTTTAAGAATTTATTTTTACTTTACATGTATGAGTGTTTTGCCTGCATGTAAGTGCACCTGTGTCATGCAGTGCCCACAGAGGCCAGAAGAGAGTGTTAGGTCCCCTGGAACTGGAGTTGCAGACGATTGCTGGCTGCTCTGGTGCATCTCTCCAGTCCCTTCCCCTTGGTTCTTTCCACTGTATTGTGTTGCACACATGGGTGCACACCAGGCTCCTGGAGTCGAGCACTTGCTTAAACATGTGAGGCCCTGGGTTCAAGTCCCAGCACCAGCAGATTTCCCGGCCCCTTTGTTTTTCCTTGGCTCTCACTAGTCTTCATATTTTGACCATTTCGCCAAGTGGCTTCAGATGCAGAGGACAGGTAGGGAAGGAGTCAGGGAACACTGAAGCCTACCCAGTGACTCTGTGAAGGGCAGATTCACTGTGGCCAGGGCAGTGCGTTTATTTAGGCATCAACTGCTGGTATCATGTCTGCATCTTTTCTTTTCTTCTAAAGAACAATAAAGAATGGCAGAGCTCTGATCCTGGGGAGCGCAAAGTCCGAGCTGGGCATGGTTGTGGCAGGAAGATTGGGAACAAACACTGAACACCTGAATTATACAGCATGGTAGTGTCCATCCTCTGTTCAGTGACTGTGACTCTAGCATGCTATTTACCCCTTTTCACTGTCTTTTTTTTTGTGGTGGTGGGGAATCCAGGCCTTTTGCTATGCTCTCCAGCTCCACCCCCAACCCTTCCATTGCCTGCCCTTCATTTCCCCTGCAGTCTACACATGCTCTGTATGCCAGCTAGACCAACTTCTCTGGTTATTCCCCAGGGACCCCCCCCAGACACCCCTGGGTGCTCACCTGGACCATGAGGATAGAAAGGTCAATACAACCCAGCTTCGAACCTCAAGGTAGTCATACATAGGACACAGGACTGCTTTCATTTCTGGGCCTTGGCTCTTGCTGTTTCCCAGGATCTGGAATGTTCTTGTCCCTCAATCCTTGTTCTTCCTACTGAAATCCCATTTATACCTCAAGGGTCCTCTCAAATGGCAACTACTCTGTGGAGATTTTGGGGTCCTACTTTCAGTAACTGCTTTCCCCTCTGACCTCCCAAAACACTATTCATTACTCTTAGCACTATTGGAGGTTCCTTGGCCTTTTGGGAATCTACCTGTTTCCTTTTACTTATCTGTAAGTTCTTTGAGGTAGGCTATCTTTGTGTGTGTGTGTGTGTGTGTGTGTGTGTGTGTGTGTGTGTGTGTGTGCTCCTATGCACATGCATACAGAGGCCAGAGAAAGACATCCTGCTCTATCACTTGCGGCCTTATTCTCCTGAGAGAGAGTCTCTCACTGATGCTGGAGCTAGGCTTGTGGCCAAGAAGCATTAGTGGTTCTCCTGTCTCTGCTTCCCTCAGTGCTGGGGTTATAAGTACAACTGCCAAGTCATGCTCAGCTTTTCCTGTGGGTGCTGGGTATCTGAACTCAGATCTCATGCTTGGGCAGCAAACACTCTTTCCCACTGAGTCCTCTTCCCAGCCCTTATCTTTGTATCTTGTAATTACTTGCATATAATTTATACTCAGTAATTGTCAAATTGAAGCAGAATTATTGAAGCTTAAGGCTTTCTTGGCAGGGGAGAATTTGGCCAAGAGAACAAACAAAGCTGAGGTTGTAAGACAGGCCGGCCTGGCAGCCCGGCAGCCCATGGCCAAGAAGACAGATTGTAGAGAGCACGGACCTGGGGAATCACATGACCTGAGCCCTCTTCTTTGTTATTGTCTGCATGAACTTGGGCAAATTATTAGCTTTTTTTTTTGTTTGTTTGTTTTTGTTTTGTTTTTTTGGTCTTTTTGAGGCAGGGTATCCCTGTAGCCACAGCTGGCCTGGATTTGCTATGGACACCAGGCTGGCCTCGAACTCACAGAGATCCGCCTGCCTCTGCCTCCTGAGTTCTGGGATTAAAGGTGTGCACCACCATGGCCGGCATGATTAGCTTTTTGAGGTTTAGTTTCTTTATACGTAAAATGGGGACATAATTGTCACTTTACAGAGATGTTGTAAAGCAAGATATTAGTGAGCATATATTTTTTTTTAATTTTAAAAAATATTTGTTATTTTTATTTTACGTGTATGAGTGTTATGCCTACATGTAGAGGACAGAGAGGCTGTCGGATCCCCTGGAATTGGAGTTACAGACAGTTGTTAGTTACCATGTGGGTGCTGGGATTTGAACCTGAGTCTTCTACAAGAATAGTCAGTGTTCTTAACTGGTGATCCATCTCTCCAGCCCCTAGTGAGCCTATTTTATGAACCATAAAACTTGATGGGATGTAAGGTATTTTCAGCATTCCGCGGCATTGGGACTTTTGGTATTATCTTCTTGTCTGTCTGCTATACTGGAGGGCTAATAAATCCATTATTTTTTTTTTAGCTTTGTTTATCATATTCCTGACCCCTCTCTCTTGGGAATACATTGTTAAACTGCCTCAGAACGTTATATATAGGGTTGCATTTCTTCTCATTCCACAGGAGGATGGGCAGAGGCTGTTCATGTTTGCCTCAGTCACAGGTTTGGTCCTGATTCTGTGAAAGTTTTGGATGCCTGGCAAAGCCTGCCTGGCCACATCAGAGTGCCTCTGTGAATGAGTACAGCTTAGGTTTATTGCTACTTAAATGTTCTTTTTTTTATTATTTTATTTTATGTGTATGAGTGTATTGCCTGCATGTATGTGAGTGCACCCGTGGAGGTTGGAAGAGGGCTTCAGGTTCATAGCTGCCATGTGGGTGCTGGGAATCGAACCTGGGTCCTTTGCAAGAGTAGTCACTGCTCTTAACCACTGAGCCATCTCTCCAGCCCCTACTTAAGTATTTTGCTTCTTACCTTAGACCCTGAAAAAAGGCCTTTGTCTGAGGTGTCCTGTTGTGTTCCCTCCCTCACCGCTTGTTTATTGACTTCCAGGATGGGCGGGCCTGCCATTAATCTGCTTCCCAAAGCACAGGATGGGGCAGTGGCCACAGCTTTCACTAAAGCCCCCTTTATCTCCTATCCTATCCTTTAATGTTTTCCAGAGAACTGTTTCTGAGAAGACCAGACAACATCCTAGAATTTGCTGCAGGTGAGTAAGGCAACATCCAAGTGGGGTGTCCCAGGATCCCTGTGCAAGAAATAGGACCCTAGATTTAGACTTGGAGCCTTCCTTCACTTCACATCCTCCCGGAGAGCTGTTTTCAAAGGCTTCTTCATTTCACTGTCATTTCCTCAAAATGAGGCCAGATCAGCAATGAGGCAGAACTTTGTCTTGGTGAGGATTAAGAATTCAGAGATTCCCAAAGGAGCACGGGCATCCCCTCTTTCACGAAGCTCTTAAAGGGCTTCTGACCCGTGCTGCATGTTAGAACCACCTGGGGACCTTTTAGAAAAATCCTGATGCTCAGGCCCTACCTCTGGAGGTTTTTATTTAATTAGTCTGAGGTGGGGCCCAGCAGGCATACTTTTAAAGGCTCCCCAGGTGATTCTAATGGACTTGGCTCAGAGAGGGCTTCAGGTCAAGTGAGAGTGTGAGCAAGCTGCTGGCTGCTTTCTTGGGTGCGGTTAACCCCAGGAGCCCAGTGCGTTCTCAGCATGACCATGCTGTCACTGCACATGCTGCCTGTAACTCACATTCTACTCCTCTGTCGTCACCCTGTGAGCCTGGCTCTCCTTTGAGAGGGGATTCTCAGAGAAGGCATGTATTTCAGAGACAGGAGCTGGCAAGTGGAGATAGGAATAATACTTGGCATTAATTTGGGTATCAAGATGGGCTAGGAACAGAAAACTCAGAGAATCTCTGAGCCCTCCTTTCCTCCCTGGGCATCAAGCAGGCCACAAGCACAGAGCTGGGCAACCTGCATGTTTTCCTGGCACCCTTGAGGGCAACTGCTGGGGACTTGCTGTGACCATTAAGATTGCATTGTTTGGTGGGGTCATACCACCTCTACTTTTTAGCTGTGTAAGCTATCTCCCAGTCTTTCCCCTTCAGTACAGATGATTTCTTCTTTTTGATTTTCATCGCAGACTATTTCACGGATCCAAGACTTCCCAACAAGATTCACATGCAGCTAATTAAAGAAAAGAAAGCAGCTTAATTAGCAAAACCACAGTGCTCAGCTGTTGGAGAGACCAGCCGGCTAGGGTGGGTGTTAACCTCACTTTTGTAAAAAGCAGCACAGGCTCCCTGGTCCTGGCTGTGGGGGGTTACAAGTGGAGAAGCCAAAGAGCAGCTTGGTGCAAGCGCATAGTTTTCCTGACACCCTTTGGGGAGATTATAGGCTGCGACAAGAGTCCTAGAGTTGGTCTACGTGTCAGCAGACCAACCCAGTGAAGCTGACTGAAAGGATGGAAATGAGCTGGGTTGGGGGAGAAGGAAGGAAATGGGGAGTAGTCAGCAGCAAGTCCACTGCAAACAGTCTTTCCCTGTGTGCCAGGGTGGGGGTGCTCAGGATTGGGAGCGGCCTCCCACTCCACACCTTTAACTCTCCTCACCATCACTTCTTGTGCCTTTAAGGCCATCATACAGTTCCATTCTTTCTTCCTTCCCTCCCTCTCCCTTACTCCCCTCCCCCCAGACAGGATAGGATGATTCCTGAAACCATTTGAAAGCTGGATTTTTGTTTCTCCATGTTTTGAGATAAGGTCTTACTATGTAGTCCTGGCTGGCCTAGAACTCACTATGTAGACCTGGCCTTGAACTTAGAGTTCTTCTAGCCTCTGCTTCCAGAGTGCTGGGATTTAAAGGTATGGACCTCCACACCCAGCTGGATTTTTTTAAAAAACATCATTATTTTTATTTTATGTGTATGAGTGGTTTTTGTTGTTGTTTTTTGTTTTTTTTTTTTTTTTTGGTCTTTTTGAGACAGGGTCTCCCTGTAGCCCCAGCTGTCCTGGAACTCACTATGTAGACCAGGCTGGCCTCGAACTCACAGAGATCCACCTGCTTCTGCCTCCCGAGTGCTGGGATTAAAGGTAGCCGGGCGTGGCGGTGCATGAACTCACATAGTGAGTTCAGCTGTGGCTACAGAGAGACCCTGTCTCAAAAAGACAAAAAAAAAAATCTGTTTTTATGTGTATGTGTGCATGTATGTAAATGAACCCATGTGTACAATGCCAGTAGAGGCCAGAAGAGGGTGTCACATTCCCTGGAACTGGAGTTACAGACAATTGTTAGCTGCAATATGGGTGCGTCCTCTGCAAGAGCAGCCAGTGCTCTCGACTGCTGAGCCATCTCTTTAGCCCTGGAATTTTTTTTTTTTTTTTTTTTTAATGTGAGGTGGGATAGCTCCACACTCCTAATTTATCAGACTCACTTCTGCTTTTCAGGGTCATCTGGAGGCCTGAGAGCCCTGTTGTCATCAGTGTGAGCTGTGTGAGCTGTCTGCTATTGCAAAGACTTTAAAGATCCTCATTAGATACTACTCTCTCTTGGTTTCATTTGGAGGGAAGGGGACACCCTGCATAGAGGCCTGCTCTGCCCAACTTTGACTACTCATGGTAGCCAAGGTCTTTGGATGTGGCGGGGCTATACCCATTCTAGCTGCTTATCAAGCCAAGAGCAGGGGTGGGTACCCTGAGAAGGTCACAGCTAGTTGTGGTGGGACAAAAACAAGTGAGTCCATACTTTGACATTCTACCTCCTGCATAATCTTACAAAGTGGACACCAGAGAGGTTGACACCTCTCTAGGAGGACACTGAGAGAGATGGACAGACACTGAAAACCCATTCTAAGTAATAAGTGACTGGGGATCCTGGGGACTTTGCTCTTAGAGATTTTTAGGAGCAAGCTGCTGCCCTTTAGATTTCTGGCAGAGGCAGGAGGATGGTCCAGATGGTCCAGATGAGGTCCTCTCTGAGTTTAGGAGCTCTGGGGGAGGAGTGTCTTGTGTTCATGTCCTCTTTTGGCCTCTGCAATCCACTGGCTCCACTGTATAAAGGACCTCTCACCTGGGCGTCATGTGTGAATGTCACCATGACAACAGAAACATAGGCCAAAGCAGGGGTTGTGCTATTTGTCTTTGCCGGCCTTGCTTTGAGCTCCCATCATAACAGTAGTAAAAAGAGCAACGAAATGAGGCATGTAAAGAAGTATTAAACCACACGTCACCTTCAGAACTGGGGCCCATGGAGGTTGGTATGTTGGTTTTTATATAGGCCAAGCTGACCTTGAACTTTCATAATCCTCCTGCTTCAGCCTTGTCTTTGAAGGTATTGGGATTACAGACATGAGCCCTGTAACTGACTCTAGAGGAGTTGTTTTAAGTGCTTTCAGAATTCAGCAGCTCTGACACTGACAGTCCAAACAAAGGGGTCTGGGGAGGTAGTCTATAAATTGTCTGCTTTGCAAACAGGAGAATCTAAGTTTGAGCCCCAGAATGTACACTAAAAAGCCAGGTATGGGGGCTGGAGAGATGGCACAGCGGTTAAGAGCACCATCTGCTCTTGCAGAGGACCCAGGTTAATTTCCCAGCACCCACATGGTAGCTAACAACTATCTGTACACATAAAATAGTATTTTTTTTAAAAAAGCCAAGTATGTTGGGCGTGGTGGTGCACGCCTTTAATCCCAGCACTCAGGAGGCAGAGGCAGGCGGATGTCTGTGAGTTCAAGGCCAGCCTCGTCTACATAGTGAGTTCCAGGACAGCTGGGGCTACAGGGAGACCCTGTCTCAAAAAAACCAAAAAAAATAAAATAAAATAAAAAAAAAAGCCAAGTATAGTGGTTCACACATGCACACATGTAATCTCAACTTTGGAAAGGCAGAGACGGGGATTCCTGGGGCTTGCTGGCTGACTAGTGTAGCCTACTAGGTGAACTCCATCCAGGTCAGTAAGAAACCCTGTCTCAAAAAAAAACACAAAAAGGAAAAAGAAAAGGGAGAAGGGCACTGACTGCTCTTGCAGAAGACCCAGATTTAGTTCCTAGCATTCACAGGGCAACTCACAACCATCAGTAATTCCAGTTCCAGGGGATTCAACACCCTCTTCCGGCCTCCACAGTCACTGCATAATGCAGGTGCACTTACATGCAGGCAAAACACTCATATACAAAAATAAATAAATAAATAAATAAGGGCTGGGCATGGTGGTGCATGCCTTGAATCCCAGCACTGGGGAGGCAGAGGTAGGTGCATCTCTGTGAGATCGAGGCTAGCCTAGTCAAATTCCAGGCCCACTGGGGCTGCAGGGAGATCCTATCTCAAAAAATTTTTTAAAATAAAATCTTAGAAGCTGGGTGTGGTGGTTACATGCCTTTAGTTCAGCACTTGGGAGGCAGGGGCAGGTGGACCTCTGAGTTCAGGGCCAGCCTGGTCTGCATAGGAAGTTCCAGGCCAGCCTGGGTTATATAATGAGGCTCTGTCTCAAAACAAAACCAACTTGAGGTTGTCCTCTGGCCTCCATATATGTACATGTGTACATGAACACACATACCCCACAAGAACAAAGTCTGGTGTGGGAGCTGGAGAGATGGCTCAGTGGTTAAGAACACTTGCTGCTCTTGCAGAGGACTCAGGTTTGGTTCCCAATACCTATACAGCCACTCACAACCACATGTAACTCCAGTCCCAAGTGATCTGATGTCCTTGAGGCACAGATGTGTTGCATATACATACATGCAGGCAAACACTCATACACATAAAAATAAATCTTAAAAAAAAAGTCTGTTGTGGTGGTTTGTGCCTGTGATCCACAGCTGTCTGTAATAGAGCATTCAGACAGCTGAATCCTGATAATTTTGGGTGTTCTAGGCCAGCCTGGATTACAGAGTAGGACCCTGTTTTAAACAAATGAACAAAGCCTTCAGTGGAAAGCGCACGTGAACGAAGGCCTTATGTGAGGTGTTAGACACTCATGGGCCCTCTCCTGGGAGGAGACTGCAAAACGGGGTAGGGGCTAAGTTATTTTTAAAGTGCTTGAATGCTGGGGAAAAGCATGACTTATTTTTGGGCAGGGATTCCTGACAGAAATGAGGAATGCATGTCTCTCGTTTGCAATTTTTGAGACAGAGTCTTATGCAGTCTAGGCTGACCTTGAACTCCCTCTGCAGTGGAGAATGACTTCTGTTTCTCTTTCCCAAGTGCTGGATCATAGGGGTCGGCCGCCACACCCAGCTTGCCTGTCTTTTATGGGATTTTTAAAAGCTAATATAGGAAGTGATGGGCTTCACGTGATATTTGTGTACATATATAGCCTTATATTTTGTTCTTATTTCTTCCTGTTGCTCTTCTCCATACCTTCTGCCCCTGCATACCTCTTAAAATATATACATTTTGGGGGCTCTTTTTGAGACCTCTCTATTGCTCAGAAACAATAGAGAGGAAAAGCAAGAGCCTGGCCCTTAATGGCATTTTTGAGCACTTGAGTAACACAGCAATCACTCACTTTCAGAATTCCTGGTAAATAAGAATGGGAAATTTGGCTGGGTGTGGTGGTACATGACTTTAATCCTAGCACTCATGAGGCAGAGGCAGTCAGATCTCTGTGAAATGAAGGCCAGCCTGGTCTACATAGTAAGTTCCAGGCCAGCTGGGGCTACATGGAGACCCTGTCTCAAAAACAAAGAAACAAACAAACGAAGGAATGGGAAATTATAACTTGCTTGTTTTGAAATGAAAGCAAGAGATTAAATCCTGCTTACCGCTTAGTAGATCTAAGGCCTTTTCCCAAACATTTCCTTGAGCATCGAGTTTATAAAATAAAACTTACTCCCTTCCTGGGCTTGTCTGGGATAGAAGTGAAGAATGGACAGTCCCTGCCATATGGGAGATGACTACCGGGGAGTGTGCCCAGTGGGAGAGCATAAATGTAAGGGAGGGAGCAGTGATGGGAGATGGAGGATAGAAGACAAATAACAAAGAACCCTGTTTACTAGGCAAAGGTCAGACATATCATGGAGATTGAGAGCTAGCAAAGAATTGCTCATCTGGAACTATGCACACTATGTTAGTCTTGAACTTGTAGAGATCTTACTGCCTCGAGGGCTGAGATCAAAAGCATGTGCCTTCACCCCTGGACACTAGCAAAGGATTTTAAATCATGCTGAACTCATTGGGGGAGATACATTTAGAAAGTGATGGTACAGGAGAGAAGTTAGAGGGAACTAAGTTAGGAAGGCGTCTGCGGAGCCAGCCACTACTGTCTCATCTGTATCACCTGGCCTCTCTGCCTCATCCTGTTCATCCTGTATTGGCCAGAATGTGCTTAGAAGCTCAGTTTCCAGTGGCTTAAACTGATAGGGGTGTATTTTGCTCAATAAGTCTGGCAGCAGCAGGAATCTGAGTTTTGTGGGATGGCAACAAGTACCCACTGTGGCCTTTCCTGGCTTTTCAGTTCACTAGCCTCAACCTGTCGCCTCTCCTGCACTCTCAGTGTCACTCCCACATTTTTGGCAGAAAGTGGAAAGAGCCACACCAGCTGACTGTTCCTCTCCACAGAGACGAATGTTTTCTTGGAAGTCCTCCCCACCTATGTCTCACAGACCAGACTCAGGGTCATGTCATCTACCCAGAACTTAGCAATTAAGGAGAGACCGGGACAGGGAACAAAAGGAGGTGGGGTTCAGTTATTGGGCCAGCTCCCCCACACTCTAACTCTTCTGATAAGAGCTGGAACATCTTTAGATAATTGGATTTATTTTATTATTTTTTTGGTGCTGGGGATCAAGCCCTTGGCCTCAATGAGCATGGTGGGCAAGCATTCTACTGCTGAGCCACATCCCCAGCCTGAAGAGGCATCTTTTAAGAAACCTGGGCATGGTGGTGGCATACCTTCAATCCCAGCATTCAAGAGGTAGAACCAAGCAGATCTCTGTGAGATCAAGGTCAGTAAGCTCTACATAGTGAGTTCCAGGCTAGCTGGGGCTACACGAAGACCCTATTTCCAAAAAGAAAAGAAACCTGAGTATGCCACTCTCTTTCCTAAGGTCTCTTATTTGTCTCTATGAACTTAGACTCCAGATGACTTCCAGCGTCCACCTCCTGGATCATCTTCTTCCCCTTTTTCCTCATGGTGCTGTCAGCCATGCTGATCTTTTCTCTGTTCCTCAAACATGTTAACCCCCACTTTAGGTGCTTGAACTCTGGCTACTTCTCTTCCACATAGTGGCCCAAGTTGCAGTGCTCAGTGATGAGAGGAAGAGGAAAGCCCTCTGAGAGCCTCTTGCCATCTCACACAGTCTGGAGGTGGCAGGTGCTGGCGCTGTTCGGGACCTGCCTCTTTGGAGTTCCCGGGGCCACAGGAGGAGAAGGACCACAAAGCACTGTCGGGGATACTTGTTTTTCTTTTCTAGAAAACAACAGTGAGCCCAGCAACCCCTCTGCCCTAGCTGCCTTTCACTGACATCACCTTGGCCAGAACTGTGCAGATGTTAGGAAGTTAGAATCTGAGTATTTAGGCAGCAGCAGTGCCCTAGATA